CCCGCAGAAAAAGGTGTTTCCTTGATTGCGGCAGGCTTTAGATCGTCGTAGAATAACCTTCAGTGCCCTTACTGGGCATAATGACGCTCTTCCTCATCCTCGGCACCCACAATGGACGAGGGGGGAGGGGACAAAGAATGATCTATCAGGCTGTCCTGGGAGTTGAGTCTTTACGCTGAAGTCCCAGTACGGTCCATGATGAACGGCGCCCTGAGTACCGCATTCGAACCGGGCACGGGAGACGTCGAGGGCGTGCTGTACATGGACTCGAGCGGCAGTAGCCAAAACCAGTAGAAACACCCGTCTTCTTGTTTAGGTCGTAGAAGGAAGACGAGGGGAGTGGTTCGAAGGGCGTTGAAGACCACATTCAGATCCAACGCAGGCGGTCTGAACTTGGCCTTCAGGTCTTCAAGACTGAACGAGCGCAGCCAGGCCCGTAGATCGGGAATTTTCGTCTTTCTCCGATCCTTCCGGGATGGCCAGAACGGAGTAGATGGCGACCAGGTATGTGGGGGTGGTAAAGCCCTTCAACCGATGGGTGCTGCGCAAGTACAGAAGGAACTGATCCAGGATCTGCGGTGACGCTGTCATCGGATCCTGGTGTTTGTCAGAACAAAATGCCTGGAACGAGCATCATTTATCAGCATGCAGTCCCCCTGTAGATGGACGGTGGGCTGAGGCAATAGCCTTGGTCGCTCTAGCCGAATAGCCCTTGGCTTTCTGCAGTTGTGTCAGGCGTGGAGATGATAACATGCGAGTATTAGGGTGTGGCAACAGACCGTGTGGATGGAGCAGAAGGTTGGACCACACCGGAAGTTCCAGGGGTTGTCTCTGGCTATGTTTCGGAGGTTGATAAACCAACTTCTGGCTGGCCAATAAGGCGAGACCAAAGTCAATGGCAGGGGTCGAGTGGCCTGGATCTCTGAAGAACCGTGGGAGGGAGAACCGGAGTCGGAAAAGCGTACGCGCGTAATCCTTCTCAGTAACGACTGAAGGCTTCGACTGCCACAGCGGTCGTATCCTGCACTGGTGGAATGGAAGACGACAGCTGCCAACATTCAGATATGAGGCAAACAGATCTAGGGTTGGGGTGTCGACCGTTTGACATAGTCTGGCCAGAGGCGCCGGAGAGCGTGGGGCGTCGGAGAGCTTGAGGCGCCTGGAACGCCGGAGATGGTGATTCTCGGGAGCGCCGGTCGAGTTTGTAGCGCCGGGAGAGGGGCGAGTACCCTGGGTCCTCAAACACCACACTACGGTGACGTCGTCAGTGAACACGATCAACAGGGCGTGACCGAGAATGCACTGTCAGCAAGTGACGTCCTGGATAAGCCTTTATCTCGAGGCTGTTGCTGTGTCAATGGTGTTGATCTCCGGATCACAGGTGGTCACAATGTGGGCTGGTGTGGGCCACTAGCCACTGACAAGGTGGCAGTGGAAGAGCGGGAAGTCATGGTAAATGAGGTCGTCTACAAGATTGCAAAATGGAGAAGTCAGCAACAGGGGTCTGTGATTGCGTACCATCGGTACGATTCGGAAAAAGGTGTGATCGCCTGCGAACCAACCTCATATAGACGAAGTAAACCAGCTTCACAATCGACCACAGGGGCATCGACGTAACCGGGTAGTAGGAAGTCGAAGTAATTGCATTACCATTGCACGAAGTAATGAGATCTTTTTCATCCCTGAAGCGGCGTATAAGTACTCCTGTTCTTATATCGAGGTGACGATGGAGGACTACAACACGATACGAGGCAGGTATGCAACAGGGGTCAGTGGGACGGCCGAGGGACTTTAAGTATCAAATCGACACTGTGTCCGGTAGTCAAGGCGGAAGATAGGAAGGTGTCGTAGTCTAAAAGATCAAACCGGACGAAGGAAGGCGATCTTTTCCATCCCTTGAACGCCTATAGGCGCTATCGTTCTTATAGCGAAGGGTTGATGAAACAAGGTTCCTCGTGACAGCTGTGTTGGTAGAGGAGGTCTATTGTTTCCAACATCCGTGCATGGATGGACTGCGACAGGCGCCTGGTTGAGTGGTTGCACCAAGCGTACAGGTAAACATGGAAACCAATCTGTAGAAATACATGGCACCCCTTGCCATGGTAAGTTGACCTAATTCCAGTCGGAGTTGTTGACAGTCCGAGTACTTGACACGTGACATGTAAATCACTCTGTGCAGTAGCAGAGAAAGCCGCATTGGAGTCGGAACTGAGGTGCAAACTCCACACACAGACAATCCTCAATGAACTGTGTGAGAGACGAACAAGTGGTGTACCCGAGTTTTGCGATAAAACGCGGAACCCCCGTGGGCGTCGTGGAAAACCTGGGGAGCGCCCAGGAAGAGTCTCTTTCAGGAACGCTGGCGCTAGGGTAGGGTAGAACAGCGTTGGTGTCGGCGATGTCGACGAAGTAGACTCTTTATAAGTGGATGTCGTCGTCGAATCTGATACAGACGCTGTTCACATGATGCTCTGTTTCGATGGAAACCCGCAGGACGGGATTAAGGATAACGTCTCAGTAGGCAAGTTGAATCAGACCAACTGTCTATTGGTTGAAAAGATTCCACCCAGGAAGTAGAACGATAGTCACGATCACGAAGACCGACGGGAGAGAATCGACAGGAGCGGCGACTGTTGTTTCACCATGCTTCTCCGTGTGACTAGCTATGAGACGTCAGCAAGAGAAGAAGAGGGCAGTGGTGCCGGGGAGGCGATTGCCGATGGTGCCCCTTAAGCCGAAGCAGAAGATCGGATGAGATACTCGGCTCGTTGATCTGAGCTTGATAAAGCTTGTTGATCTGGGCGCCAGAGGTTATCTTAGGCGCCGGATACATCATAGGCCCCAGAACTCTGGAGGCACCGGGAGGGCCATAACTCTTGAGGCGCCGGAGTAGTCAGAGGCACCAGAGACATTAGAGGCGTCGAAGATCTTGAGATCAGAGACCTCAGAGGCGCCGGAGACCTCAGAGGCGCCGGGAGCGCCGGAGAGGCCGGAGACATCAGAGGCGCCGGGAGCGCCAGAGGCGCTGAAGACATCAGAGGCGCCGGAGACATCAGAGGCGCCGGGAGCGTCAGAGGCGACGGAGACATCAGAGGATGCGGAGGCGCCGGGAGCGCCGGGGACATCAGAGGCGCCGGGAGCGCCGGAGACATCAGCGTTGTCGACGAAGATGGTGTAGGAGACCGTGAACGGTCGTATGTCGTGCCATGGGAGGCAGACTCTACGTTGGGAGCGCCGGAGCCGCCGGTGGTGTTGGGAGCACTGCGCAGCTCCGCTGAACGCTGCTGCCGTCAACGTAGATGGGGGTCGACGAGCATGTTGAGCGAGGTGTGTCCTGGATACTCGAATGAGCTGAAGGATCACAGCGACGAATGACTGCAACCTCGGCACTGCCTTGTGAAAGTACAGGGCGTCGTACAATCACGGCAGAAAGGGGCGGCCCCGACCAGATTTGTTCCCGCGGCAACAAGTGCAATCTGGAATTTAAGCAAAACATAACTATGTGGCAAAACCACAAAGTGCGGGAAGCATAATGTGACTCAGAAACTTTGTATTTCAATGAAGTTTATGAGATCAAACAATGACGCTAAAAGGTAGCGAAAAAGCATAGCTTTAAGCAAACACATAACCATGTGGCCGAATCACAAAGTATGGGAAGCATAAAGTAACTCAAAAACATTATATTTATTGAAGTTTATGAGATCAAACAATTACGCTAAAAGGTAGCGAAAAGGCATAGCCTTAAGCAAACAGGTAACCATGTGGCAAAACCACATAGTACGGGAGACATAATGTAACTCAAAAACGTCGTATTTTATTGAAGTTTATGAGAGGAAACAATTACGCTGAAAGGTAGCGAAAAGGCAAGGCTTTAAGCACACCAAAACAACATTCATAAATGTAATGTATTACCCAAGCCAAAGAGAGAATTCAAAACGCAGAACACGAAATTACGTGGCCATGTGGTGAATGGCGGGAAAGAAAACAAAATGGCGGGAACAACATCGCGCCCGTAAATTACTGTGACGTGAGCCACAAACGAGCGATAAACGTTACAATTTACGAATGGGAAGACCCTAAGGTCACGGCCCATAACAGGTAACAATGTAGCAGCATATAATGAATGTAGAAACACGCAAAATATAAAAAACAAACAATAAGCTTTAATTTCCACAAGGGATACAAAGTACGTCCGTCCGTGGAGGTGACAAAGCAGTTATGTGTTTTGGTGTGACGTCATGACTTCCGGGTCACGTGCCGACTGTGAGAGGGCGCTGCCTCCTGAGCTTCAGCAGCTGGATCTCACACAGTTCGTCTCTCTGTCAAAGACAGCAGTAAATGCAATACGGAGTAATGCAGGATAAGTTAAAAAATCTACCTTATTTTTATTCGAATAATATAATTAAAATAACAGAAAAATATTATCTGTTTTGACCCAGTAGAAGAAAATGATACCAAGTGAATAAATTCATGACAACTCTGTAAAATAGATCACAAGCAAACAATCTAATCATTAATTAACTTCAAAGGACATACATGTAACAAAGTCAACTTTACACAGAATAAACCCATATAGTATAAATATGTTCAGGCCAATGTGATGTCCAATATCAGTTAATGGCAATGTACATTGAAGCCCCTGTAGTCAAGAAAATACCTCTACGTGACAATCATGTTTTGGTAAATTGATTCATTAAAACCAGATACAATGTTTTCAAGTTCTATAGACTTTGATATGGACACCAACCTGCAAAAAACATGTTACAATCTGAGCACAAGAACTATATATGCAAGATTTGATGTTGAACTTCCAGTGTGTTTGTTTTACTAACATTAACTAACTTTTTTAAGAACAGGTTTACTCAATTGTAAGTATTAATCAATGATTACATCAGCCAAAATTATTGGTAATAACCAGAAAATGGTTACTGCTATGCTTTTCAAATGAACAAACTGATGATCATGAAGTAGCTTGTGTTTGGGACCGTTTTGCCTTGTATGGGCGTGGTCCCGTTTGCTACGTCACAATGGCCAAGATAGTGGGGGAATTAACTTGGTAGAGCTGATTACTCGGCTATCACCTTTAAAACAGAGAGAAGGCTGCTGAGTCCCTTTAAGTCTTTATTCGTGGCAGAGTGTAATTTCATATACATATATAGAGAGATATTTAAACAATATTACATTACAAGATAGATGCAGTCAATGACTTGTTACATTAAATATATAACTGACAACCATACATGAATTGATAGCGACTCGTTTAAACTTTCTTAACAGGACTGTTCTAATAAATAAGGTACAAAAACGAATTGTGAATAATAAGCGACTGGGAGGTATTTCATGTTATTCTAGCTACAATATTTCATACAGGAACTGTTAACATTTTCATTTACGGCATTCTAAAGTTACTCGTGTATTTACATACAAATGTATTTAACATATTGTATAATTTCAATGCCGTAAATGCTTAACCAAATGATAGACTAAGCATGGCCAATATTCGTATGAGACGGTATTTACGTGAGATTACCCGTGGGTATTTACCACAATGTACTCTTTCTCATGCTATGTAATGTATGGCTTTATCTATCACTTGGCATATCAACAGTTAATGTACAAGTGAACTAATCTACTGACATCTATATAAACACACACATACAATTTAACATTTAAGTTGCTTTGCGGTATAACGAATGACATATAACTTATTCTTAAATATTACAAACTATGGTAAATATAAAGTTGCTTGCACATGATATAATATAAGTTAAAGGCAAGGAGAATTGAACAAGAAACTAATGTTGTCTTACCTTTAAAACAGAGAGAAGGCTGCTGAGTCCCTTTACGTCTTTATTCGTGGCAGAGTGAAGTATCTGCCACTGGACTCCTATATATAGGGACTCAGGCCTTCTATAGGATGCGTTAGTTACCTAATATTGAAACTATGATCTAAATCTGCTACATGCGTGGCGTATTAATTACAATTATTCGACAGTTACAGAGCACACTGACCGCGTAATATCCTTTATAATCCGCCTATCTGATACTAAATGACGATGCGTCCGGCCATACACAGCATGTTATAGCCTGAGGCATAACCCTAGCCTGGCCACCTTGGCTGAGTTACATAGTCCAGAGTCACTGGTTTGTGACGGTCAGTTACGTGTATGGCAGCTGACTAACATTATCTACAGAAATATATTTAGGTATAGCTAGTTGTAAGATAAAATATTGAGAGAAATACAAAACATATTATTGAAATATGACAACTATAATTATGGGTTAATTATAGTGATTTTAGGACTATGACAATATCCCTCCGCTGTGGGAAGCTTTTGACCGCAAAAGCACAAAATATTTTACATGGAACTAGTGTTACTGAAAGATACAATATCCCTTTGTCATGGTAACAAACAGAATACAGGTATTGAAAAAAGAATACAATATTTGAGCAATAGTCTACCAAACAGAACATGTTATGACAGAGTATTGTTCTGTTATGAGAACCCAAAAAGGTACAACATAATGAAGCATAATACAATAGTTTTAGCAACATCAGGCTTAATAGAACATGTAGAGTATTGTTCTCAGCATGAATTCGGCAATTTGAAAACTTTACTTTACATGTGTTGGTTTAGTTCATGGGTGAGTAACAGTTCATACAACGTTAACTGTTTGTTTTTTCTATTAAGCTTAAAGTTTTAAATAGTTGTGGGAATGAAGGTGGACAAATAGTGTCATATTTGAACATACGTTTGTCTCGATTTTGAAATATACACCATTATAACAGCATAATCTATAATAATAGATAAGTGAATCTGACAACTCTGAGAGAAGATCAAGTGGGTAGATCAGTGTTGACAACAGGTTTGAAAGATGACATTTGCAACTATCATCCTTCTAGCACTTAATAACACAGGAGGCCCTGCAGGTTTGTCGACAACATCTAACTACTCACAACGAAACTACCTGAGAGGTTCTATCAAAGTCAAGGATAACTATATTATTAGAGATTAGACAAAATATTTGTGTGATCCTTTGTGCTTACGACAGCGTCCAGCCTGTGTTTTATGCACATGGAAGTCTCTGATAAGTCCTTGTCCTATATTATGGTGTGGCTCCCATGTTGGTGTAGGATGTGCAACCCATTTGACAAGAAAATGGCGTATGCCATTGATGTCTTTGTACTTCAAGAGTTTTTCAACATCATAGAATTGATCTTGATTGTGATCTTTTGTTTGCTTGTGATTGTGCTCTGATGGCACAGTTTCATCTGCTTTTGCAGTTGGCTTTTCTCTAGAGACTGGTGATTCTAGTGGAGGACTGCCTTGCAAAGTTTGTGCAGGAGGATCTGGTAATGGTTCCTGTGCTCTACTTGAAACCAATGTAGGTGCAGAAGAACCTGATGCGTCAACATGCCATGCAACATTACCTCTGAGGACATAGGGTTTCAGGCGATTGGCATGGACCAAAGATTTATGTTCTTTGTCATCTGAACATCTGTGAATTTTGAAGGTGTGGTTTGGACCAATGTCTGTGATATAATAAGGACCTGTCCATGATTGAGACAGCTTCGGGGAAAGTTCTTGTTTGACTACAGGGCTGTGGAGAAGCACCTGCTGACCTAATATGAAAGAAGGTTCTGATGATTTTAGCTCTTGATGCTCCTTGTCTATTTGCTGACTTACAGACATGTTGTCGGGAGCAATAGATTTGACAACCTTCAGATTGTCAATGAGCTGCTGGAAATGTGTCTCTGCATTTTTACCAAGTGTTGGCTTCGGTGTGAGTGTAGTATCAAATGGAAGACACATCTCTCTGCCAAAGAGCATATGGTGTGGTGAGTAACCAGTTGATTGGCACGGTGTGTTTCGCATTGACATGAGAACACATGGAAGAATATCAGCCCAGTTGGATTGGTCAGGCTTACAGTAAGATTTTAAGGCTTGTGCAATTGTACTATTACGCCGTTCAACCATTCCATTTGTCTGAGGATGGTATGACGATGTGAAGTGGTGCTTAACCTCAAAGATTTCACAGATAGCATTGACCAGCTTTGATGTGAACTGGCGACCTCTATCAGTGACTAGAGTTCGAGGTGCACCGTACCTTGTGAAGACTTCATTAAACAGTTTTGTTGCTACTTCCACAGCATCTTGAGTGTGCAATGGAAATGCTTCAATCCACCTTGAGAATGAATCCACAGCTACAAGAACATACTTATGCCCATCCTTTGTTTGAGGAAGAGGTCCAAGGATGTCAACATGTAACCTGGAAAAGTTGTCTTCAATAGGCATTGGTACCATTGGAGCTGGTTTTGAATGGGCCCAACGTTTCCCTCTTTCACATTGTTCACAAGATTTGATGTATGTTTCAACATCTTGGTACAAGCCTGGCCAATGGTATTTGGTCAAAATGGACTGACGGGTAGCATCCCGGCCAAAGTGGCACCCACCTGCTTTTGAATCATGGTAAGCATAAAGCAGGGATTTCCTGTCAGAAATAGGAACTGCCAGTTGTGTAACCATTGGGTGACGGCCGTTCTTGTGTCCTCTATGCTTTGGCAGGTAGAAATGATACAAGATGCCATCACAAAGATCATACTCCTGTGAGAGACCTTGGAGACCTTTGACTTGAGAATCAGTGTAATTGGAGGGAATATTACCATTCCCAAGATAGTCAATGATAGGCTTGAAATCTGGTGAACTTCGCTGTCTTTCTGCAAGATTGTTTTCCGGGATATCAGTTCCGATTGTTTGAACTGTTGGTCCTGATGGAATCTCATCTTGATGACAGAATTCAACATACAGATCTATCGACGATGCTGAAGAAGGTGCTTTAGCCTTCTGACCAGATAAATGAGGGTTTTCTGAAGTTGAACATTCAGGAGATATCCCATAGTCATTATCTGCTGCAGTGAGCTGACTAACAATCTGATGATGGGTTGTTGATGATGGATTTTTGGGTGGTGTTGAAACCACTTCAGCATATGAATGCTGGATTGGATGATGATTTGACTGGATGGTGGCTGAGGTGTAGTTGATAGAGGGGACTGGTGGTACAGGGAAATCATCAGTGACAGGTTCTATGATCTGTGCAGGATATGGAATGCGAGAGAGAGCATCAGCATTTGTATTGGCTTTACCTGCACTATGTTCGATCTCATAATCATATTCCTGCAGCATGAGAGACCATCTAGCAAGACGACCTGTTTCCTGTTTGATGTCCTTAAGCCATTTCAGAGCATGATGATCTGTGAAGACTTTAAACTTCTGAGATGTGAGATACACCCTGAAAGTTCTAATGCCTTCTAATACAGCCAAACATTCTAGTTGAGTGATGCCCCATTTCTTCTCAGCAGCATGAAGGGCACGGCCACCATAGCAGATGACATGTTCTTGGCCAGAAGCACCTCGTTGACCTAAGATATACCCTATGGCTGAGGTAGAAGCATCTGTTGTTAGAATGAATGGTTTATTGGGATCAGGATATGTTAGGACAGGGGCTGAAGTTAGGCATCCTTTCAATTTGTTAAGTGCCTGCTCACACTCGTCTGACCAATTAAAGGTGGCATCCTTTTGAAGCAAGTTATACAATGGTGATGCTATGCGGGAAAAATTTGGGACAAATTTGCGGTAGTAACTTGCAAGACCCAAGAAATGTCTGATGTCATGGACATTTTTGGGAGAAGGGATGCTTTTAACAACTTCTACCTTTGATTTGTCAACTTCTACTCCATCTTTGCTGAAGACTCTCTTAGCTGCAAATCTACATTTGCTTGGTTTTAAGGTAAGACCAGCTTCTTTAAGTTTGCCAAAAACACATTTCAGATGATGTAAGTGTTCTTCAAATGTTCTGCTGTAAATTATGATATCATCAACATATATTAAAATGTGTTACCAATTCATAGCTTGAAGAGCAGAACAAATGGTTTGCTGGAATGCTGCTGGTGCATTTTTGAGACCGAAAGGAAGACGATTGAATTCAAAAATGCCATCTTGCGTGATGAAGGCGGATTTGTGCTTTGTTTCTGTGTGAAGTGGTATCTGCCAAAATCCACTTGCACAATCAAGAACAGAGAACATCTGAGCATGTTTTTCACCAATAGCATCTATGACATCTTCCAAACGTGGAAGAGGGAAAAATATTGGTTTCGTAACTGCATTGAGCTTGCGATAATCGACCGCAAATCGATAACTGTTGTCAGATTTCTTGACCATGACTACTGGCGAATGCTATTCAGAATGACTTGGTTCTATTATGCCTGCGTCTAACATTTCTTTAATTTACTTAGCACATTCTTTTCTGACTAGAGATGACTGACGGTAGAAGGGGAGTCTAACAGGACGGGTATGCTCTGTTTCAATCTTATGTTGATGCAGATGTGTTTTGCCTAGCTCTGACCATTCTCGTGCAGAAACAGATCTTTGAGCCAACAGGAAGCATTCAAGCTGTTGCTTCTGGGTCTCTGTGAGATCTGAGTCACTCAGGTCAAAATTCAGGTCAGCACTTAGCTTTGATGGGCTAGAAGGGACTGCAGTGTTGGCTGATGGATGATCTAAGATTGGCTCAGATTCCAATGTATGGACAGATGATGGGTCAATGATGGATGCTGTGGCTACTATTCGTTGACAACGAAGTGTGACAGGTTTATCAGTTGGGTTGAGAAACCTCATATATGGTCTACCCTTGGCACTTTGAATGAGACATTTGGCTCCTTGAATTTGGAGTGCCTCTAGGCCCGGAAATGGTTCCAGTAGCAATACTCTGTTGCTCTCACAACGGGAGATTTTAACAGGAATATCAGCCTGGGAGTGGGGAGGAATCTGAACTGTTTTGCGAGGTCTAGCAAACCCTGCATTGGCATCCACCAAGCTTACGGATATTAATCCATCATGCAGGTGAACTGTGCGGTTTGATAGATCAATTTTGACATGGTTTGAATGGAGAAAGTCTAAACCAAGAATGATGGTATGATGTAATGATGTGAAGACATGAAAATACTTTGAATAAGAAGCATGGCCGATGTTAAGTTGTAGAGTGACTAAACCTAACACAGGATGGCGTTCTCCTCCTACACCAAGAATCTCTGATAGATGAGATTTCTGAAGGTGTGACTCAGTGAGTCCTATTTTCTTCAGAAATTTCATATGAACACAGCTGATTGTTGCTCCAGTGTCTATCAATGCTGTTGTTTTGACTTGTCTGACCTTAACTTGAATGGTGTTTTTAGATAATGGGGCTACAAGAGATACATGATGCTGGTTAGAGTTAGTAGAGGATTGGGAAGTAGGGGTAGTATGCCTAGTGGGTGGGTCAGATGGTTTAGATTGTTTTAATGGGTGCCTGATTCTAGGTGGATCCTTGGAATCAGGCACGCGTCCCTACTGATTATCTATCTTAGACAGAAGAACCTGGTAACATACAGATGTATGGTGACCTTTCTTTCTACAAACATTGCAAATGGTATGCCGATGGGGACAGTAATTATGCTGAGAACAATACCCACCACATCCTGAGCATCTTTCTCTGTTGTTTCTGCTGGATGGTCAGAGTTGCTCGCGCCTGAAGTCACGTGGCCTGTGCTGTGACTGTGGACTGGCATCAGATGACTGATGACCTTGTCTTGAGCTGTAGTCATCAAGTCGAGGTGGTGACTGGAACCTGACTCTTTGTTGACAGTCATCATGGCGCGCCTCCTGCTGTGTAGACATTGCAGCTGCAAAAGGCTTCTGTTGGCTCTCCATTAGCGACATCACTAGTGTTGATAGCTTAGTCACCTGGTCTGTGAGGTTAGCTTGATCTGGCTGTTGGATGCTGAGGTATGATTTGGATGCTAGTTCACCCTGTTGACGCACTTCTTCCAATGTTTTGGGTTCTTTATTATAGACCCATTGTCTGACGGAAGGGCACAGACCATTCACAGCTATGGCAACTAAGATGTCGACTGGTATGGATTTACTAGAGGTTGACTGCTGTAACCTACTGATGTAATCTGATACTGATTCAGCAGGTTGCTGATTGATTGCCAATACCGACAGATCAAATTGTCCTGATGGTTGAAATCTAGTAATGAAAGCTTGTTTTAAGCTATTCCAGTCTGACTTGAAATCGTCACTCAAGGCATGATGCCACTGTTTGGCTGGTCCTTCTAAAAGGAAGTTCAACATTAAACACGCTCTGTCTTGATCAGTACCTTGGAGTTTAACCCATGTTTCTAGATCTGACCACCAGTTATTTGCATCCCGCTTACCTGAATATTTAGGAAGATGAATATGTGACATGGCCATGCTTGTGGTTGAAGCTGTGGAGGAAATACTTTGAGTAGCTGCTGTTGAGGATGTTGTTGGTGACGTTGATAAGGCTGTTGATACTGACGTAGATGTTCATGTTGACGTTGACGTTGGTACCGTTGATGTTGACGTTGTGTATGTTGCTGGTGATGTTGGTATTGTAGAGGTTGGCGTCTGTGATGTAGAACTGTTGTTTATGATGACTCTGCCTGGCAACTCAGGGTTACAACGAGACAAGATGAAAAGACTGCAGCCTCATCCTGTTCTCTGTGTTCTGCCTTTCATCAGCACCGGAAACTTTGATCTCCATCAACTTACGTAGCTTGTGTTTGGGACTGTTTTGCCTTGTATGGGCGTGGTTCCGTTTGCTACGTCACAATGGCCAAGATAGTGGGGGAATTAACTTGGTAGAGCTGATTACTCGGCTATCACCTTTAAAACAGAGAGAAGGCTGCTGAGTCCCTTTAAGTCTTTATTCGTGGCAGAGTGTAATTTCATATATAGAGAGATATTTAAACAATATTACATTACAAGATAGATGCAGTCAATGACTTGTTACATTAAATATATAATTGACAACCATACATGAATTGACAGCGACTCGTTTAAACTTTCTTAACAGGACTGTTCTAATAAATAAGGTACAAAAACGAATTGTGAATAATAAGCGACTGGGAGGTATTTCATGTTATTCTAGCTACAATATTTCATACAGGAACTGTTAACATTTACATTTACGGCATTCTAACGTTACTCGTGTATTTACATACAAATGTATTTAACATATTGTATAATTTCAATGCCGTAAATGCTTAACCAAATGATAGACTTAGCATGGCCAATATTCATATGAGACGGTATTTACGTGAGATTACCCGTGGGTTTTTACCACAAAGTACTCTTTCTCATGCTATGTAATGTACGGCTTTATCTATCACTTGGCATATCAACAGTTAATGTACAAGTGAACTAATCTACTGACATCTATATAAACACACACATACAATTTAACATTCAAGTTGCTTTGCGGTATAACGAATGACATATAACTTATTCTTAAATATTACAAACTACGGTAAATATAAAGTTGCTTGCACATGATATAATATAAGTTAAAGGCAAGGAGAATTGAACAAGAAACTAATGTTGTCTTACCTTTAAAACAGAAAGAAGGCTGCTGAGTCCCTTTACGTCTTTATTCGTGGCAGAGAGAAGTATCTGCCACTGGACTCCGTATATATAGGGACTCAGGCCTTCTATAGAATGCGTTAGTTACCTAATATTGAAACTATGATCTAAATCTGCTACATAAATAAGAGAAATATATTTAGGTATAGCTAGTTGTAAGATAAAATATTGAGAGAAATACAAAACATATTATTGAAATATGACCACTATAATTATGGGTTAATTATAGTGATTTTAGGACTATGACAATCATATGATGATCAAATCACACCTTTTAGGAAATTTACATCTAAATATATTTTAGCAAAGTTTATTTTGACATTCAATGTAAACTGCTAATGTTATTAAACAAACACTGATAACAAGAGTCATGAGAATATGACACATCCCCCTGCAGCCTCATAATATATCACCAATCTCATAAATAAGAATAAAAAATAAAAAGTTATAAAAAATTGTCTATATTCAAACATTTGATCATTTTCCAATTTGTTTTGAAGATATCATTAATATTCTTTCTTCTTTTAAAGAAATTCAACTCAACTGAATGTAACTCCAACTTTATTCCAGAAAAAGTAACAACTTGAAACCTTAAAACATTGTTCAGTAGCAAAAGACAATTGTCCACTATCTGATTAATCATTCTGCATGTTTCATGAAAACATGTCTCATAATTCTTAAATTTTGATCTTGAACAACACCCCACTCCATCTAAATCCAAGTTCAAATTGTTAGAATGTCAACAGACAGACTTTCAATAAATCCAGAAATAGCTAAAAGCACAAGTTTACTGCTTTAATGATACACATGCCTTTTCTTTATGATCAGGTTAGTTACAAGGAGAACCGTTAAGATCTGTTTCTATAGTATACGCCTATTCTTTTTTCGATTATTGATTCACCAAAACATTCTACATCAAATAGTTTGGAAATTCATAAACATGGATAAGTTTAACACACACAATGATCTGCACTTAACAGGGTTTTACTATATTCAACTGAAATATACATCAATGGGAGGAGACTGAGGCATGTTCTATACACATATGTGAATGATTTGTTTGTTTGTTTGTTGTTTAACGCCACACTCAGCAATATTCCAGCTATATGATGGCGGTCTGTAAAATAATCAAGTCTGGACCAGACAATCCCGTGATTGACATCATGAGCATCGATCTACGCATTGTGGATCAATGACATGTATCAACCAAGTCAGCGAGCCTGACCACCCGATCCTGTTAGTCGCCTTTTACAACAAGCATAGTCGCCTTTTACGGCAAGTATGGGTTGCTGAAGACTTATTCTACCCTGGAATCTTCACGGGTCCATATGTGAATGAAAGAAAGGTACAGAGAACAACCAAACCACATCAAGGCATCAATGAGTTGGCTGCATTCATTAAAACAGTAACCCTTTCAAAGGAGCATCATAATTATGCAATTAAAGCTCTTTTGAATGCAATTCTGTCCTTTGACACTCTGGGTTGATTGAAGAGTAGGTTCTCCCTGTCAGTTTCTCTGCAAGGAATATGATTACTTCCTTAATGGCCACATACAGAATGCAGCGCCATGCAGCCCTGTAATAAATTAGAGCATATTTATAACCAGACTCAATTTTAAGAATAAAATAAATATCTCCAGTTCCAGTTTCATAAATGTAAGTTGTAACTGGAATAATTGGAAATCATTTACTTGCCAAAAATTCAAAGAATTAGTTTTTTACAATTACAATGAATTTATTTATTTTCAGTAGCTTCACTAGTTACATTGTAATTGATTATTACTTTACAAGACTATTATCTCATTCTTTGGTGTCTCCATTTTCACAATACTAAATGTTTTTCCAATGTATATATTCTAACAAAATATGACTGAATTTCTGTTCCCTTTCACCAAATTGGTTCTTTTCTGTTTAGCATTCATTCCAGTGAGTGTTTAATAATAATGTATCTAACAACATTGTACCTATAACTATGTACCAGAAATCAAGCAAGCAAACCTGTACACATAATACATACTATTATATTTCTGGAATATGTCTGCTTCAGATAATACAACCTAAAATTGTCAATAATGAAATGTAACAGACATGTTTGTTTTCCTAACTGAAGGAGACAAACACGTATAGAGGATATTTGACTTTTCCTGTCGAATACGGTGTTTATCTCGTCGAGTGAAGTTGACTAGTTTGTATTTTGCATGAGTGGCGTAGCCGCAAGTGTAAAAATTAAACTTTTCAACTTCACGAGATGACATAAACACGGTATTCGACAGGAAAAGTCAAATGTTCTATTTATTCTATTCTTCCTTATTGCTGAATTTTATGAAAACCAGACCGATGACTCACAAATTTAGTACATTCACTGTGTCAGTCGTCTTGTTGCCTGGTGATACACATTAAGTCATCACATTGTTTACTTTTTGATTTTGATATCTAACTCAGTGTAGATGCAGGTTTTATTTTAACCGATAAATGCAGTATTTCACCGATAGAAATAGAATAATTAATTTTGTATTTTCTGTGCTTACTGTGTGTACTCCATTGGAAGTTCCCTGAGATTCGCATCAACATCCGGCACAGTAAAGATCTGAGTCACTGGCTTAGTGTTAGGGCGACTGAAAGGAATCAAAGGTGGTCAGTGACATTAATGTGAAATTTAGACCATGAGCAATTTTCAATGTATCAATTTCATCTGTATGTCTGAATATGCTTTAGATGTAAACTTTTCCTAATCACATTTAACTACTGCTCTGTTCTCATTCAATTTGGTAAACACTGGTAAATATATGCTCAAAACAACATGCATAAAACTGTGAATTTACACTGATTTTAAATTTGTGCCATTGGGAACTTAAGAAAAGAATCTACACTATTCACCATTATTCTTACCGTTTATCTCTCACTAGAAGGCGTGTCAAGGATTGCCCCAGCCACTGAAGTATGTGCCCATACATCTGAAATTTGTTTTGCCATGTATAAAGTACAATTCACTGAGCAACTGATATCATCAACTATTTGCCATTTTTCCCCCCAAACATTTTACTTTAATCTTCAGGAACACTTATATTTTACCTGTATGCAGAAAGTGTATGTCAGAAACAAAAGAACATGTACATTGTGTTTATTGCATAAGATGATGATTACTATCACAACATAAGAATTGTTACAGTCATAGGATTGAAACTTTTTCAACAATGAAATTTTGGAAATTTTCTCTACTAATTTGTGGACTTAGGACTTAATTGTGAACATTATCATTCTCATACTTTAATGAAATTTAGCTGTACATATGAATTCATTTTCTTACTTCAGCAGACACAAAATCTGACCCAAATCCAGCCTTGACTTCATGGTAGGGATACTTGGTAACAAACCAGTTGTGTCTCTCACCATGTCCTTGTCCTCACTGTAAAGACAAAAGTGCCTCAAGAATGCCACATTCATTTTATATTGACTGTTGTGTGATGTTGGTGTATATGTGACTGTTAACTTTCAATGTGATATACAGGAATATCAACAACAGTGTTATATAAAAGGAAAGGATACATACATTGAATTGGTTTATTTTGGCCAGATGTGATGTGCATGTTTAGGACTTCAGATCATTCTCCATGGCCATGTACTTTATAGAGTATATTACCTGAACTTACCCTGTAAAAGGCTCTTAATGTAACTGCAAACTTCTGATTTCTGTGAAGAAAAGTCAAACAGTCAATTCATTAGACAGTTTCCGCTTTAACAGTTTCAATTTCAACAAGCATATAGTCGACGAAGTCATCTATATTCCCTGCCAACCTTAACATGTAATGGTCCGAAACCAGGTAAACTAACCCAACATTTCTTTAAGCCCAAGTTCAAAGAGCTGCCATAAAAAAAAAACCTTAAAATAAAACGTTCTAAAATTGTTGAATAGCAAAAGGCACCAGTTCAGCATGTGTTTGATTCAAAATACTAAATGGTTTAGCAGTTATTTTCTGGAAATGAACCCTACCCTCATAGAACCTAAGTCCAACTTGTTGCCATAAAAATGTTAAAAAAATAAAACATTCAAAAATTTCTAAATATTAAAAGGCACCATTTCAGAATGTGCCTGGTAGACATGCTAAGTTTTGTTAGAAAGTATTGAACGTTTTTGAACTCAGCCTGTCCCTGATAGCAAAGACAAGGTACTGCAGGGTAGGAAACAGGGGGATCTGAGTTGAACTCATTAAGAAAGTCTAGCTGGCAGCTGAGTATAGTTGGGAATTCTGGATAGTGTTATGACAAATCAAACATAATTAATGTCAGAGATATGTATAATTAAGTTTAAGCATAAGATGTAGTCTGGATGCAGAAACCATAACTCTGTGATGTTGCACCCTATAATTACTACCCCAATATGTGCAGCTGGTATACGGATTCCGCAGCTAGATGTTCTACGGTTTCCGTAGCTAGATGTACTATGGTTTCTGCAGATACATGTGTAGTAATCATTGTAATATCTCACCTTGTTTTCAAAGAAATCAGCTGTGACTCGAAGGGAACCTGAATAGTAAATTAAAGTAATTTTAGTATTAAGATGATTAATCCCTATTGAAGTGACAATCAGTGGTGAAAGTGGCAGTGTGGACGCTCCCAAAGTAGAATTTCTTTTAATCATTCCCACACCAACACTGAGTTTGGAACCATGATAAAAACCATTGAAACAGAGAGAAAAATGGTTGAACTTTGATGTAAGAGAATGCTTGGTTACTTGAAAATTGTCTTTGAAGCTGGCCAATTTTGGCCTTTTTAGGCTAATTTTGTACCACATTTTCTCCTCAAAAGACTAATCTAGTCACATAATTGGCATAATTTTATGTTTACAATGCAACCAGATGACATTTGCTTGGTTGTCCATCATGTTTCTGTAAATACCTGCAGAAATCACAAAGATTGGGCTTTACAAGCAAAGATTTGAACTGGGAGTGTGGACCAGGAGGCTCCCAATTTGGGGAGCCTCCACAATCCGATCTCTGACTGTTAACAATGAAGAAATAATTCATGTATTTTTAAGATATTTTGTTACAAATGATACATCATATAACTACAATAACAACATGAGTACAATAGACAAAGAAGGGAGATTGAACACTTGTTTCAAATTTAGTGAAAAGCAAGTATTGCAAATTCATACTACAAACTTAATAAACAAATATTTTAAAATTTTATCACTACTTATCATGTAATTTAAATTGTTAAAATAACTTGCTAGATGTAATACATTTAGACACCAGTCATGGAATACCAAAATTTACTGTCTAATTCTACAGCATCCATTTTTTGTAATACTTGTTTGGTTTGGTCATGTTTTCTGTACACAACATTTCTTTCAATAATAAACTCAAAGATAACATTGATACTGTTTAAAATCTAAAGAATTCTTTTAAACATTACATTTATTTAAAAAAATTAACCAGCAGCAACAATACCTCAAATACATCTCAGCGCATGTGTTCTTCTTCAAACCAAAGAAATAAGATAAATATCAACAAGATCAAGTCTCATATTTTGGAAATATGAACATTTTCATTGAGTTAGCACAACAGTAACTGCCAGAAATCTGTATATGCTTCATGTTTCAGTTTCATCCTTGACAGAAAAGGAATATTAAGGTACTTTTCTTAAATATTTATCTTATATAATAAACAAAATAGAGTTAGTTGACACAGGGTGCGAAATTAACCTGTTGTTTTTGTTTTCACATATTACCCCCTGATTTCATCTTAAATGCACCCAGTTGACTCCCTCCTCCTCCCACCCAGTCTTTATGATTTACTATGATGACATGAAACCAAATACTTTTCATCCCCCTAAGCTGACTTAGGTATGGTATGCAACACTTAGGTACTGTACGGTAAACTTGGGTGACTTCCTGCATTGTCGGGGTACAGTCCGGTATACAGGGCCTTACTCGGGCTAATCTCCTATGGTACCCATCCTTACAACGACCCTTTCCACATAACTTATCCCATTCATGCTCAGCCAACAAACATTCCTCTGACTTATACTCCTTTCACATTAGGTGATTTAACCGTCTCTAGACCGTTTCTAAATTAACTTTGTGACAGTTACCATTTCACATAAGCGCTTGTCTCGCTTGTCTCATAAGTTACCACCTCTCAAGGTGGTTCAGAGATGGTTTACCTTTGGAGTCGGCGCTGGTCTGCCTAAATATTGTGACAGTAATTTCCTGACACTGACATTTCCGTTATCATCTAATTGGGCAAAAGATGTTGGTCTTTCATGCTATTGATCACTTTTGAAAACCAATAATATAAAGGAAAGTTGACAAGAAGTTCAAAAGTGTTTTGGAATTTAGATCTTGAATTTGGCCTACACCAAATACAGACAAATGTTGACAGCAAGGGAAAGAAGCAAAAAAGAGCATTTTTCATCTTGACTCATTTGTAATGTCCAATAACTTTCTCACCCAAGATAGTTTTAGAGAATTGACTGGTGTAAAGAAATCAATAATACCAAAGCTTCTCCTTTTACATTAGCTCTTTAATCTTATCGGACTTTCCATTCCAAAGAAACTTAAATAACATTTTATTTAACTCCTTAATAAAATTCCCATAATGATTTGGCAGTAATAAACAATACCAGTAAATTCAATTTGAAAATAAGTAAGGCCTCAATAATGGCAATTGAACCAAGAGAGGTTATAGTTCTGTTCATTTCAAGTCTGTTGAAAATATAACACTAGGCAGCCTGAAATCTGCTGGGTTTCATTCAATTTTTTTATTAGGCAAATACTAAACTGAGTTATTCTTCTTTGGGCCTATCAATATTACTTGGGACTTATGAAATACCAACTGTACCTTCAACAGATTTTTCTCACCTGTCAAAAGGAACTCTGTACTATCATCATATTGTGTTAAATATTTTTCATCTTTTAACTAAAATATCCTTGACATTAACATATTGTTCTTAACAAGCTCAGCCAGAATTTCAAGAGCGTAGGAAGATAGAGGGAGAAATATCCTGACCTTGTCTACAATCACTTTCAACTGAAAACCAAGGAGACAGTGTGTGATTTATTACTAATTATGATAATGCCAATATATAATACTGAATCATTTCTAGATATCCTAACCAAGGTGAAAGAAAACTATAGTTTTGTTATTATAATATCAAGAAACAGAATCAAAACCTGTGTAATTCATTAAATCATGTACCTATAATATGTCTGAAATTGTCACCAAATTATATCTACCAGGCACAAAGTCAGTACTATTGATAAGTTAGACTAATTTTATCAATCCAAATCATTCACTGAACCTAAAAAACATGCTGTGTTTAATTACCATACATTCAAACATAATACTGCTTATCCAAGGTAATGAACATTCCATTTTCAACTCACCCTTAGTTCCAGGAATACCAGATCCAAAAGACCCGTCCAAAGAGAATCATCTACTGAAGGAATAATTCCTTTACTTCCAAAGTCCTTGATAAGTTTCCTCAACCTAGCAGTACAAGTCAGTACACACAGATTGACTGAAAAAAATCCTAATGATTCCAATGAAATCAATGAAGTGTAGTAGTTGTCGCCTATTCGTTTAACTGAAGCATAATGAGACAACTGTCTCATTCCTAGAGCAATACAACAGTGATGGTCTGGTACAAAACATCTAATCATTGGCTAATTACTCCTAAGATGACAAGTAAGGGGAGGAGCCCACCTCACCAGGCCAGAGAACATATACCAGGTGGCCAGCATTACATAATATTACCTAACACAGCTGGTAGCATGGCCATGCAGAGGGACAGTGGAGTACATAATCCAGTAACTTCGTTATTAGTATGTGTATCTATATGTATATGGGAAGGTAACAAGGTTTGACTTGGATGTTTGGGTTCTAAGAGTTTTGTGTTAGTGGATGAATGGATGGAGGAAAGGGTAATTGGAGTGGGGTTCATCCCAGCAAGTTGACATTTTGAAGAATAAGAAATCATTGTATTTTGATGTCACTTAAATGTAGTTCACTGTAACAATATTCATTGTTAAAAAATATACAATATTCAGCCATAAGGCCTATGAGACACCTAAGACAATAATATTTAGATGCACTTCATAAGCATATTCATTGGGAAAATAAAATAAAAGCACATAAAACATAGGGGTCATTTTCCCGTGGTTTCAACACTAAAGTGTTCTCATTTTGGTTTTAATAAAAGAATGTTAGATTATGAATACACAATGCCATTTAGAAAGTGGTCAAATGTAACAAATGTTATATTTGGGATAACAGTTTCTTAGTAAAGTACAGATTCTAGAACTTTTAGTACTTTTGGGGGGTTGAGTCCCTTGCGGGATTCGAACCCACACTTACCAGGGTGAGGCACCTAATCGCCAGCACACAAAGTCAGCGATCTAACCCACTCAGCCACCGAGGCTTCCACAAAAATGAAAGTCCGACAACTAACTAGAATCTGTACTTTACTAAGAAAGTTTTATCCCAAATATAACATTAGTTACAATATTAGATTAGCTAGGTATATGATCTTGAATGTGATGTCCTGATGAAAAAACAAATGTTTAATTAAACACATCTTTTCTTTTCATTGAGAATATTATGCCTAATTGATAAAGCTTGAATATTTGATACTTATAAAGAAATTTACAGTGCTTGATCTCTGTGAACTGGCACAAATGAAATAACTTTCTGGTAATGAAATCATTTCAGAGAGGATCCATAGTGCAGCATCCTTACATATAACATGTAAGACATGAAGCAAAATCTTTCAGTAATGACAGAAACTTTTAATTTTTAAAATATTAATCAGATAATGAAAGCAGAAATTCTCCCATGAAAAAAAACTCACTATAGAATTTTGGGTAGATCTCACTAACAGCATGAGGTGAATACATTCTAAATGTGTGTGTATGATGCACTAGTCACCCCTTGTCAGAAGCCATTTAACACTTTACAGGGGTAGAAACTAACAGTTTTAGTCCACTAGTCCTTGATAACAAGTAGCAAAAGCCTTATAAACGGCAAATTTCTACTAGTCCTTATGATACCTTAACCATTGGGCAGTTT